GTTTTAGCTTCTTGTCCGATATGTTGATATATTCATAGCTAATAAGAAGGGTATTTATACAACAGCAATGAGAACGTAATATCTCATGTTGTAAGCTTTCTAACTGTTTGCCATCAGATAACCATAAGTTGTTTTAAAAACAATCTTGCTATTCCTAAGTATCGTTTAGAAATAGTCAATGAGTATTTTATGGGAATGGATGGTAGAAAAATTTGTCATTGTGATTTTGATTTGTAATATAAAAAAAATTCTGTCAATGTGAAAGAAGAAAAAGAATATATTTAAAAAGAACCCTATTTTAATGTAATGTAAAATTTTGCGTATAAATAAATACAAAGTTGGGTTAGTTATACCATACTATTTCTAACTCAGAAACGACTGTACCGATTTTTACGATCTTTAATTTGTAGGGACTAATCCCTATTCTCAAAAACCAGTATAATTAGCAAAATATTGAAAAATAAGAATAAATTTACTTAGATATAAGTATACAATACTATACTTTATTCTGTGGTTGTATAAAGTTAACTGGATGAACTAGTTACTTATACAACTAGACTTAGATAAGTATAAATACCAGTCTGTATTTCCTGGTATTTACTATTCCATCGTTATTATATTCCATTATGATACATTCCTGCTATTTTCCGCTCCTATTACAGATATTTTATATTCTTATTATCATACTGCATTGTTGCATCTGACCATAGATAAAATAATATTATATTACTGACTATTTTTGAATTGCGTAGTAGCATTCAATTGGAGTATAAAATTTTATAATATTTTGTTAGTGAGTTCAGTATCAGCTAACACTTACGTATTTTTATATTACATTAATAGAGAATACCTACTTTCAAATGATTCCATTATTAAATTTGAAGTTATTTTATTAAAAATACTTTACTATAAATTGATATATATAAAAAAAGAAAATCTATTCTATCAACAAAGTCAGTAAGTACCTATATGATGTGTAGATTTTAACAAGATCCAATTTGGATCATGATTTAATTGATGATAAATCATTAAAGCCCCAAATTGATGGGATTAATAACCTATATACAACTTTATAGTACAAAATATTGTACATAATAAAAAAAAAATTAATCAAAAGCCGAGCTCTCGCGTTTAATTCTAAATTCAAAATATATAAATTTATGAAATAAAATCTGAGGAGGTTTTATATCAACAATGAACTTGTAACATATGAAACTTCGATACCTATTACATATTATGTTATCTGTGCTATTACTAACTTATTACTGCGTTCAGAGAACATAGAAATGAACTTTTTGACGTAGTCTAAATACAAAAATTAACAATTCTCTCTCGTAATAGTTAAATACAATAAATTGCAAATTACAGCGTTTAAAGCAGTTAAAAAAACATTAAGTAAATATTTCAGATTTAATATGTGGTCGATGTGATGAAATGTTATTTTGTTTTTAAATTTAGCATAAATGAGCGTGTAGGTTCTAAACAGAAGGTAAAATGAATACTGTAGCACACAAATTCGTAAAATACAAGTCAGAATGGACAGTATCTACTCCATTTTAAATGAGAACTTGCGCCTTAAAGTGGGTGGATGTCAGTTGCAGGTTTGCTGGCAGTAGCTAGTCTTCGAATGTAACTTAATTCCTTTGTTCGGTAGCTTTTGCAGAAATCTGTTCTCTGCATTTTTGGAGACAAATTCGAGTATTTATTTCTATTTTATTTTATAAATAATGCATTTAATTTGCAGCGAAATCGAATGACAATTTTGTAAACTTTTATACCTGATCCCGTGGAATGATCGCTATTTGAGTTATTGCAAGGTTGGAATATTACCTTACCTATTTATAAATCTTTTTTTCTTTACATTATAACATTATTTCTAACATTTCTTGGTCAAGTTAATGTTATTACATAGTTTAATTTTCTTGAGTTAGGAGTTATTATGTTATTGTAAAGTATAAAAAACTAATTTCTATAAGTTATGAAATGTCATAGCAGTCTATTGAATTGTTTAAGCCAGTTTAACTACAAATATAGGTACAAACATTATAGATTTTTTTACACTTGAAATTCTAGCAATAACTTAGTTAGTAACCTAGTTTAAACTAGGACCTATAACTATATTTTGTACAACCAGTCTCGTATCATATAGGAGGGTAGTAATACGGATACGGAGGTGTTTAATTAGGGCAGGGCAATGGTTACCGCCTTTCATAGATTGCCAAACAGGAATACCCGGGTATTCCTATCTGACAATTTTGAAATCCTCCGTTTTATAACAATTTTAACTGTAAATACGCAGATTGTACGAACATTTCAGATAATATTTTAATGTTTATAATAATTAATATAATTGCGAGTCCGTCAAATATTATATATCTTCTACTACGCTTTGATTATCACCTTTGTTGGTATCATCGACCCCAAAGTGCTATATGCAGTCATTATTAATAAATTCATTATTAAATATTTTACAGTTTACGTTTTAAACAAATAAGGTTCTTAAATTGAAATTTTCTACTATATTTCCGGTCATGACAAGTATTTAAAGAAATCAATTCACGATAAAAAACGACCTTAGGCCTTTACCTAGTCGCTATACAAATTTCTGCAATTTGGCTGCAATGCCAAATCGTAGCCAATGACATTCCGAATAACTATACCGACACAAATGCAACGATTTAGCCACTTGGGTATATCTACAGCAACTTTAATTGCATCTCTGTCTAGCGCTGTTCAATTTCCTGCTAGATAGGTAACCAGTTGGGACTTGTTCCTAGTATTTAACTATCTATAACGGAAATAACAGTTGAATGTGCATCAAAAGTTAAGATACACAGACCTATTCTGTTGTTGGGGGGGTTTTTAATGGATGATAATGAAATGCAACCGTCTGCGATAATGGTTTACGCTGGCGAAGTACCAGTGGAGGATGATAGGATGAACATGAGGTTAGGTCAATTAGGCCATCGTGAAATTCACCAGGAATTCTTGAGGCTGGTCTCCAGGGGGAACCGCTTAGATGTCAAACAGATTTGGTACTGTGCTAGTAATAGGGTCAAAAGTTCACATAACTAACCCCCTTACCCCGCTTTTACTATATTTGATATATAGATTTCAATTCGGATTCAATAACATTGGAATGCGTTGTTTGGCAATTTTTTATACTTTCGAATTAAACACTAACTAGATATATATTGTAAATTTCTTCTTCAATTAAATAATGAAGCGACATTGTTAAATTCATTCAGTTTTGTCTTAATTCTATTTTAAAAAAACTGTACAAAATTTAATTATTGATATCGAAATTCGAATTCTTGCAGTAGTAGACTGCAACTTAGCAGTTCATAGGCTTATCATTCAAAATATCAATTTAAAAAATGTAGGTATTGTTACAATTATTAGTATTATTATAAAAGCCTTTTTTAATTATCAAATGATGAATCCGTTTGTACATCAAAATGATCATCATCCAATCCATTTGTTTATCAAAATGATGAATGGATTCACCATTTGTTATTTTTTTGGTTTTCTTCGATAATACTAATACTGTATATTCGATACTACTAATAATAATATATATCAATCATCAATTAATAAAACTTAATTCATTTATAATAAATTCAAAAATTTCTTTTCCTCTTTCCGCACAAAATAAAGACAAATCATCATAATAAACAACAGAGACAAAACATTGGCATACAATGACATAAAACATTGATATACAAATTGATGACTTAATGAGTTTTATTTGCGTACACATTGTGGTTCAAATTTCTGCAACCCAGATCGAGTACCAATACAGGGCAAGCTGCAATGTTTTCCTATTAGTACAGCGTGTCGCTCTGTGCTCCCTTTTTCCGGATCAAAAGTGTGGAAATAGGACACAGCGTTAGCTCTGTGTTGTGCATGCGTAGAGTTTGGGGATGGCAAGGGTGTGTAAGAGGCGAGGCCAGACGGGGCGGGGGGCTCGTCGCCAGGCTCCAGGGCCGAGCTTACATAACGCGGAGAAAAGCGGATGTACAACCCCGGCTCCGTGCCGTCTCACTCGCACATTATTAAGGTGTATCAGAATAAACAGAATTTTCCTGCGATTATACAATACGACAAATTTAGTAAAGTATCAAGATTGTTTAACAAAGTCTAAAATTTTTTAACTAAACATCTTAATAAGATTAATATTGTTGTTATTATACTTTCGTTTCTAAACTTATTCATATTATAACTGCGTAAGTTTATAAAGAAGTTTGAATGTTATTTAATTACTTTTTTACTGTTTTAAATGTATCTTTAAACTTTAGATATATTGGATAGATACGAATACAATTCTCATATTTTTTTCAATACAATATTAAGGTAATGATTTTAATATTTAAATGCTTTGAAATCATTATTGAAATAAATAAAACATTTATAGATATCAAATCAGACCTACAAATGGTGATATGTTCTAGAGATTGCATACAAAAGCAATTTGAGAGATATCAATCTCCCATATATTTAAACAGCATTATTTTCCACTTACCTATGTACAGGTTCGACAATTGTGATAATGTACTTACTAAGTAAAATTGAATAAAGGAATAGTCCTAAGCAATAGAAATAAGACAATGTTACAAAAATAACCTGATTAACTTATTAAAGATCCTCACGACTTATTTGAAGTATAATTTTGTCGGCGAAATCGGAATGAAAAGCGCTAACAGTCTGAACCCGACTCTACTGAGACCCGCACATGTGCCGATCGTGCTGACATTTACGTAGTGCGCCCCGTACCGTCGCTTAAGAGCGTTTGTGACGCGCTGCGGAAAAATAACAAATTCGAATTTCGAAAAATAAATTCGAATAGTTGTCAGCCAGTTCTTTTTAAGAAACCATAAAGTGCCAGTGTTTATGTTATTTTTTTTTTATTTGTGTGTTTCATTGTTGAGAATTGTTTTGGAAAGTGTGGACTTTGCTAGGGGTCGTTTTCCCTGGGAGAGCATTGCTATAGCAACGGATGACGTCAAGTTCATGGGCGGTTGGTGCATTTTCGTTCAATAATGTATAGTTTCTGTTTTCCAACAATAGTTTTCTAAATTGTGAACGTACAAAAGTTGAGAATTTATTAACTTTTAATATTTTTTTAGTATATTCTTAATTCTATTTAATATCTATGTACATTACTTTTAACGATTATAGCCATTACGTTAATTTGGGAATTGATAATTTTTGTTAGGTACCTTCTTATTTAATTGAATTAAAATTGTCAGCAGCTAATTGACTCAATTTGATTATCAATCAGTGTTTTTAAATTAAATACCTTATCTAGATGCGATGTAATTTTCTATTTGAATTATTTACGTATGTACCTACAATTTTCGGTTTAAAATCTTTCCCGTCCTTTTCAATATATTTTCACACACTTTCATAGGTACCCTGCAATTAATAAAGTAATTTATAAATACTGGTTATTATGTCAGTTGAATAAGTCACTGTGGGAATAGTTTAAAAAGAATACTTTCAAAACTTAGTTTAAAATTATCAAATTTAGAGAAAGCTATTTTAGAAGCTTTATTTGTAGTCAAACCGATGAGGAAAACATACGTTAATTGAGCGAATTCTTTAACTTACCTCTGTAGGTATATCTGGTTTGAATAATACCTATACATTTGATGTATTTATTTGTATATTGAATTAGGTACATACAATGAAACTTGTATAAATATTCTGCTTGATTAAAATCTCAATACAATGAGGTCACTTGTGTGTGATGATGAATTATTTATATACCTACATATAAAACAAATTATATATCTGATTTTATAAATTGTGTTATCGAAATATATTTCAAATTTATATTAAAATTATCCATGCCCGTTATCCACGACGCAATTTAAAAAGTCTAAATTGATTGTTTCAAATTTGGAATAAAACATTCGAAACCGCTTTTTGTGTGCAACGAAACGTAACGTCACAGAAAATGAAAGTGGCCAACATTTACACCGCATAGAGTCCGGTTCAATGGAATCTTGGATTATATAATCAGTAGTTTGGCCCACAGTTTTATTCACTATAAACATGGACTTGGTAGAAACGAGTAATAACGTGAAGATCTTACTTTTATTTTTATTTATTTATTTAAACATTATTGAATTTCACAATAAGCTGGCTTAATGCTATTAGCATTCTCTACCAGCCAATCTTAGGGAGTACATAGATCGAAGTCGGAATAGTTAATTAAATAATTAAGAAAAGATAACACAATTATTACATAGTATAAAACAAAGTCGCTGTCGCTTACTGTTCGTCCCTAAGTATGTTTAAATCTTTAAAACAACGCAACGGATTTTGAAGCGGTTTTTTAATAGATAGAGTGATTAAAGAGGAACGATTATATATATAATACATGTACACCCGTGCGAAGCCGGGGTGGGTAGCTATAAAATATAAAATACAAACATATTATAAGTATACACACTATAACAAATTTTCTGCAATACTGAACACAATTATGCATTTAATCTTTTGTTTTTTTATTGACTTTTATTTGAGGGAAGTCGGATTTATTAGTCAATAGGCTACGACATTCTCATAATCAGGATTTCTGGATATAAAGTTTATAATAAACATAAATCTAAGTTAATTAGAATTACTTAGATAACTAATATTATTACTTATAATGTTATTATAAAAATTATTTGCCACATTCCAATGCAAGGTATGTCGTGTGCAATACCTAAAGCTATTAAAATGTAATTTTCTGTTATTATCAGGATTTCTGGATATAAAGTTTATAATAAACATAAATCTAAGTTAATTAGAATTACTTAGATAACTAATATTATTACGCGCCATATTATATATAATCTTAGCTCAGTCTTTGCAATATTATAATACTCAAATGCATACTAGGTCGTGGAATAACAATTTGCGTATTTAATATTACCACAGATAATATTATATTACCTACCTATACCTATTCCATTCTAGAATCTATTTGAATTTGAATTTAAACTCTGCCATTTAGATGTAATTTATGAGCATACCGGGTTGAGGTATCGGACGCAAACATTCATAGGGTTTTCTGACAATATAAATATAATTTGTTATCAGGTGCTCATAGAAGTTTTTATGTTATATTTTTCAAATATCGAATCGAGAGAAATACTATTTTTTACTTCTAAACCACGTATCGGATTTTGTACGGTTTTCAATATCGTTTATAGAATTTCTTATGGTTTACGCTGGCGGGGCACCAACTGAAGACGATAAGATGACCATGAAGACAGATCAGTTAGTGTATCGTGAGAAAATCGCAAGGAATTTATCACAATGATTTCCAGGTGGAACTACGAGGAAGTCAACCTGACACGATTATACTAGCACTGTCACATAAGCTGTACACACTCATGTGAAGTCGGGATAGATTACTAGTATTAATATAAAAAAAATTTACTATATTTGCCAAATGTGTAACTAAATAAGGTGTTAACAATATGTTATCGAGACTTCGAGAGATCGAGAACATTCACCTAATGAGAGGTGTGCAAAAATTCAATTGGTAGGTCAATATAATTTATGTTCAATTAAACAAATTACTTCATCACACAAATAGGCATCAATCAATTGTCTTTATGTTAATAAATATAAATACAATAATCAAAATCATTTATTCATATAGAACAACATGAACATCATCTGCGTAGAAATGAAATCGAAAACATTCCATTCATCGTTTACTACGCCTCGTACGCTAAAACTTCCCATCCAAGTTGGCGATATGTCGTAACTTAACTCACCTACCCATTAGCACTGCAACCTAAAATCCCATGCACTCAAAATTGTACTCTATTTTAAATGCATTAGAAACGAATACAACAAACACAGCCTTTAGAAACGTAGATTTTCTTGCCGAGGTCTAGTTGCGTAAGCAATGTTGACATTGCAGTAGTACATCCATCGATGGTGGGAGTGTCCCTTACTATGAGATCTCATGTGTTTCTCGCTCCAATTATATAAACTTGACCGTCACCTTGACAAGGTTATTGTAACTAGTAAACTATAATTATGGAAGTGAAGCTATTGTTTATGGAAATAGTTCTTAAACAAACAATTCATTGATATAAAAATATGCAAGGATGAAAAATAGTAGATATATATTGAAGGTGTTACATATGAATGTGAATGGTTGAATGGTTATAAGGGCAGAAAAAGGCCGAAAAATGACAGCCGAAATCTTTAAATCCGACTTCAACTTTTTTATAAACAGGCTACAATATCGTAACTGAACTTTAATGCAATAGCATTGTTTTATATTTAATAGTTTTCAATAGCTTCTTCCTTATCCTTTTTATTTGGGATCGGCGTAATATATTTTCTCTTCCATTAATCCCTGTTCGTAGTCATCTCGTTATTTACTCTGTTCCTTACCACATCATATTTCACACAATCCAGCCATATTTATTGGGACGAAACGGGAGAGCCGTTTCGTCCATCCATGCTTATGTTATATACTTATCTTTAAGACATAGTCATCGCTCTTACGCTTAACATGCCCATAATAAGGCAATAAAACTAATTACATAAATAACACAATATATTAGTCATGCAGATAATTGCTCTAATTGTAATAACAAATTAGAGGCTCAAATTAAATATTACCGTAAGAGTATGCGTTAAAATATAAAGTCAAGTGAAAGTAACACGATGGCTCGTAGTAGTGACTCAACTGACCTAATACTGTGCCAGTTGACTTGAATGCAAACGAATGGTAGACGTACAGAAAGCTTCGAAACTTTATATAATTTGGCCTTCACTCGATCCGCGGTTACCATCCAATATTCGGAGACTCTTCTTGTACTGTATTGATTTCCGATTAGAGATAGAACAGTTGGCATATTCCAATTTTAAATGATTTTTTTATTTATGTAATAGTTAATAATATAGTAATAGCACAGATAACATAATATTACATAGTAATAGTGATAAGGGAAAATGAATTCTATTTATATAACAGATATTGCTTATTTTAATTAAAATCGCTTATTTTGCAATACCAAAAGATTTTTTTTGATTAGACTATATTTTATACCTATGTATCTATTATCAGTTACTTTCGTATATTAACGAAACGAGTATTGATGGCCTCAGTGATCTAGCGCTTTAGCACACTGCTTTACTTCCGATGGTCGCGAGTTTGATTCCTCGCACGGTGCAAACATTTGTATTTATGAGTATGATTGTAAGTATCGGTCTGGGTATTTTCTATGTAAATTATGTATGTATTTACAAAAATAATATCTAAGTATTTATATCAGCTGTCTAGTACCTACAACACAAGCTCTGCTTACTATGGGACTAGATGGCGTTGTGGTAATATTCCAGAGTTATTTATTATATTTATTTATATTAACATAATACATTCGTATAATCTATGTCACTCACACAACAACACTGTAATACTGTATCTTTCAAATAGTAATTTTAACAGAATCTGCTCTTTCTTATTATATATATTAAAGTATACATGTTACTCGGGCTATTGTATAGTCTATGTATACTGGTGTATCTGGGCAAATTAGCGACAGACCGCTAGTATTTCATAAACACAAAAGTTCTCGTTTTGGATTTTCCTTTATTCTGTAATCTTCAAACCGAGTCACGAATTTGTTATGGAGCTTTGATGTAAACTCGCTTTACAAAGTTCACCAGAAAAGTTGTTGTAGGCTACGAATTAAGAATAATTAAGGACATCTAACGTCTGTAATTATTCTTCCGAAGGTTATCCATCAGTCTGTGATCTCACCTGTGACAGTTTAATGTCCAAATATATATTTTTTTAATAATAATTTATATTTGAAAGTACTAGCATATCAATCGTTGTAACTGAACTAGTTATAAGCATGTATTTTAAGTACCAGTTCCTTTATTTCTTTCTGTCATAAATATTGGAAAGTCATAAAATTAACAAAGAAAATACTTAACTTAGACTTAGCAGACTATCTAAAGCTGCTCATCTACAGCTTATGTGTATATGCG